GATATACTGAATTATACTTTGAAAACATGACGAATCATAGGAAGTAAACACTATCCGAGACGAAATTCGTGGCAAATGCTCACTATACATATTCGTTATTGTGCAGTTCTCAAAATTCAGTTACTTTATTTGTCGAGGAGCGACCAGTGGATTTCCATTAGGTCTCCAGTAGTGCCAGTCTCGATTCACCTCACTTATTTAATCGGTGGAGGCGCCAAGGCCGAGTAACTGTGTTGCTCATGGCGGCACACGTGGGGCTAAACCCCACCCCGCAACACCCGCCGGCAGTCAGCAGCGAACGTCTCATGGAACGCTACAGCCAGGCTATCCTCAGATTGGAAGGAGACGCAAACCAGTACTTTACGACGTTTAAGAAGAAGAGGAAGAAGCAATAAAATGCTAAAGGTAATGGGATCCGCGCGATGAAAAGGAAATTCCGTGAAGACGGATAATTTTTCGCACATTTTATTGATCTGTCTTGACAACGTTTCTTTTCGCTGTGCGGATCCCAAAAGTTCTAGCTTCAATTCGTTTTTCGTCTCCTTTCTGAACGTCGTAGAATACTTATTGAGTGAGCTTACCTGCAATCTCGAGGATAGCTTGGCTGCCGCGTTCCTTAAAGCGTTGTTGTTGACCGTCGGAGAGGGTTCGGGGGTGGAGCTCGGTCCCACGCGCACCGTGACGAGCATCACAACAACTCGGCCAGGGCGCCGCGAAGACGGATAACAAAGTTTACAAAAAAAAAGGAAAATTTCTAAACGATACCAAGGGTCAAAATAAGATCTTCAGCAAATTAAAGAACTAATCACGAAAAAAAAAACATGAATACGCGAGAATGCATTTTACCTCCTTTATACAGTGTTATTTTACAACTACTTATACCTCGGACAGCAACTGGATCAACGTTTCACCCATACCAGCGATTCGTGCTACCACAACTCCACCAGGGCTTCTGTTCTGTAACCAGTCCTTGTGCTGTAAAAAGCGTCAAACCAACCTTCAGTCGGTTTGGTCTAGTAAGCGCATGTCAGCATTCATCCACGTCAAGCCAACACAGTCACAAAAAGAGGAAGCTCTCGGCGTTGAACAATCTTTGGAAGATGAGCCATGCACTCGTCTCTTCAAGCATCATTAGAGGTGACTGAATGCATAATATGTGGCCTTTACTCTGGCTCGCGGTGGTCCACCGAAGTATCAGATTAGTACTGCTACCCTCCTAGACAAATGTGGCGTCAGTTGGCGGACCTCGGAGGAATGGAAGGCAAATTGAGCTCGGGGGTCGAGCCTCGGCTATGGACTGATCGACCAGGTGTGTGTCGCAAAGCTCCTCTGCCACTGCGCCATACGCGCTATACACAGTTATTGGATTTACACAATCTACGAATATTCTTTTATTATACTGTATTTAGTGGTGTTACGATGTTCAAATCATAGGAAGATCGCAGAGATCATCCACAATTACCACTGCGATCTCATCAGTAGCCACGTTCTCTTACCATCATGTGATAAAAGAGATGGATTTGTCGTTCCACCGGTTCTCCGTTCCAGACTCCAACATGTCGCTTCTTTGTGAAAATTCGAGCGAAACCTGGTTTAGACACGATGAAGCCGAAACTTCTGAAGAACTTCTCACCAATATGCATCGACCCAGTGCCTTGGCTCTTCACTCGTTGGCTGCGAAATGTCAAGTTCTGCAGTCTATGGAAAACCACCAAGGCCGTCTTATTGTTCAAAAACGAAGCTGCCCACTGAAAATGAATGAACGATTACTGAATAGCAAGATTTTGTAGGAACACTGTAAGCACCTCAACTGTCCAAGAATTGTCTCAGGAAACGGTGAGACGCGCGCGGGTTCAACTCCAGCCTAAGGTTACACCTTTGCAATCACTGAGGATTCTTGGATAGAAGGATAGAAGAGTAAAGCTGTTGGCGATGATAGATTCCCGGTGGATTAATCATGCATCCGACCTCATAAACATCGTTTGAGGTGGTTAAGTGCATATCTAGCTTTTTGACAAGACTTGAGCGCGGGATGGAACCATTGGCCATCTGTTGGACGCCCACGTTTGTGTCACAGGGCATCCCTATCCACTTCGCCACATGCGTCTATCGGTCATATAGTTAGCACGGAAACAGTTCTTATTGATGATTCTGTGGATAAATCCACCAAGTAATTGACTTTATCAAGTGCCGTAGAAATGAATGGATAACCGTTCTGAATGCATACGATGACCCAAGCGGATTACTAGAGTCTACCAAGAGACAGAGTTCCGCCCGAAGGTGACCAAACCAACGACGATGTGCACAGGACATGCACTGCCTACTGGTGCACTAAATACGCCCAAGGATTACAAAGCATTCAAGGACATAAATCGTTGTAGCTGTTGGACGAAAATACTTGCCATGAAGCTCGGTGATCCTTGAGCGTAAATCCTTGGTCGTCAGCATGTATACGACATCTTCAAGTCTGATAAGAGAACGAGAGAAAAACTGAGATATGTTGATTGCTAGAGCAATAGAAAAAACAAAAAGAAGATGGAAGGATAAATGAAAGGGGAAAAAATACCATTTTGAACTTCCAGCTCTGATTTATACAACTTTCCAACTCCTTAGAAGGGCAAGTGAGTTGTGCATCGAAATCAGCAATCGCTCCCTCATCGCATACCTCGTAGTTTTCCTCAAATAAAAAAATCTAATGAAACTTAGAAAAACAGGAATACTATTTATTTAGCTGCCTCTAGCAGTGGTGTGATGTTATAGATACACCCGCTGATGTAGAATAATGTGCAAACCTTTGCCTCAAATGGGACTTGAACCCGAATTTCAACTTATCCGAGAGGGCGTGATCAAACCGTTGCACTACTGAAGCCTGTTTTGACTCCACCGTTTCTGTGTTATAACGGATCTATCTGTCAGCAACCAACCGTCAACGGTTTGACCTGAGTAGTAAATATCGACATTGAACCCAGTCATGTTGACAGATATTAGGTAGACATGATGAACAGTTATATACCTATAGCCTTAGAAGTTAGACAGCAATGAACACTGTAGAGTGGTAGTAGAGCATTGGCCTCGGTGGCCTAGTGGTAATACGTGCCCCATGCATGAGTTGAACGTGGAGTTCAACTCCCGCCTAGGAACAAAAGCATTGCATATTACTCAGTATCCTTCCATATACAGAGAAGTGACACCACGGCACCGCTATAACAGCGGCAAAATAAAAGTTCTTGTAAATTTGATAACCTAAAGAAAACGTTCCGGCAAAAACATAATGTTATTAAAAGACCTCCCAGATGGTTCACCACTTCATCGTAGCTAGGAGTTGTTCCTGGGTGTCGGATTGCGAAGTACAGAAGGGGTTGAGCCCTCTGACAGAGCTACCCAAGCTCAGAGGAAGTCTAACGTTTCCACTAGGTAAGCCCAGCTAAGAGTAAACCATATCAGGAATAGGTGGTAACCGCCCTTTGATCTATAAGGGCCGGCGACTTCTGTAATGTAGTGATGATCAGAGGAGGCCCCGGCTAGGCTTACCTTGGGATTCCAAGAACAAAGCAGCTAAATCAGCGCAGTTTCCCCGTGGTGGAGCCCGCACTATCAGTGAAGGAGGGCCGTCCAAGTATCGAAGTTCCAAGTAAGAAAACGCTCCGGAGGTACTCACTTGAATGGCGTAAAAGATTTCCCGCCTTTCGATCACCTTCTCCTTCAACATAGCCGATGCTGCCGAGACTCCCGCACTTTCAGAACCACCTAAGAACACATTTTTATCAATTTAATGAAACATGGGGGGTTATTTGAGGTGATGTGAAGCATATCTGTCCTTTATAAGGACTCGCCGTGGCCTTCCGCTAAATCGAGTCAGTGCTGCTTATCTTCCCAGACAAGTTTGAGATCACTCTAGTGCCACTTTACCGACCTCTGAGAAATGGATGGCTCGGTGAGCCATAAGCGCGAGATCGAACCATCGACCTTGTGTGCGACGCAGGCACCTTTAACCACTGCGCCACATGCGTTGCATTCAAACATACAAATGACACACAGACAAAACAACGTAGAACAAACAGAAGAACAAATATGTGAATGTAGATCAATATATAAGTAAATAAACGAAGAAACATAACAAATGACATACGGTTTTTGCGAATTTTACTGGAGATTCGTAAAGACACCAGTCGCGCTATAAACCCTGTTCTGCCCAATCATTCCTTAGGTTTTACGGCGCATTCTGGAAAAGGGAAAGAATGGAAGAGAAATGAAGAGAGAGAGAGAGTGTGAGAGAGAGGGGGGGGGGAGAGAGAAAGGGAGTGATAAGGGAGACAGAGAGTGAGAGAGAGAGAAAGGGAGGAAGAGGGGGTGAGAGAGAGAGAGACAGAGAACAAAGGAGATAGGAAAGAAAAGAAAAGGAAAGTGAGCAGAACTCATCGAACCAAGAGGACGAGAGGGACCACAAAAAAGTCGACTAGACGTACCTCTCTGCGCTTCGAATTCCTCTTGAACATTTCCCGAGGAGCTTTAGTTGACGAAAAGACGACCTTTGAAAAGAGCAGTTCTGTTAATTAAACGGATACAAGCGAGCCATCGGAATTCAAAAACTCCGATCAAAGGCGTTTATCGCGCTCTAATCAAAATGGCGGGAACCCTTCGTATTTTAAAATCGAGCCTGGGGCTTATTTTTCTCTTCGTTTCTTTCCTACTTTCCTTCCTCTCTCTCTCTCTCTCTCTCTCTCTCTCTCTCTCTCTCTCTCTCTCTCTCTCTTCTTTCTCCTTTCATCTCTTTTCTTTCCGTTTTTTCTCCCTACAGTGAATCTTTCACCATTGGGTATATTTGTAACCTCATCTCACCGCTAAGAAGAGTTAAAATAAAGAGAACTGGTGATGATCACATCCAATATCTGTCAGTATAACTGGCATCCGTGCCGACACGACTTGTCAGGTCAAACCGCTGACGGTTGGTTGCTAACAGAGTGATGCGTTGTAGCGTAGAAAAAATGGTGACAGAACAAGTGTCGGTAGCGCAATGGATTAGAGCACGCGCCCTCGCATAGGCTGAATTGCGGGTTCGAGTCCCGCCTGATGCAAGAGTTTTGCACATCACTGAACATCATTGAGTGCATCTGTAACATCTTCTGCCTGCTGAAAAGCGGTCAAAATCATAAGAGTTTGTGTTGTTTACATGAATTTTTTCGTCGTTCTGTATCTCCATATGTCGATAGGTCAAGATTCTAGCCCACTAGTCCTGTCGAATTTTTGTACTGCAGATTTTTCGTCGTATCAGAAGCTATATAGTTTCACTAAAGGAGAGCTAGTCTTATTCTCAGTGATTTTGAATTTTTCAGCTTGTAATACTCAATTTGTTTGTCAGGAGAGTGCGATACGGGAGTTTGAATTGGCACTACTATGGTATCTGATGGACAATCGAATGGCAGAAATCAGAGCGTGAGTTGGTCTCTTAAACCTTCAAGGACCATATGGTACGTTTCGTACCACGCCGCGCGACGTCAAATCTCACCCGGCTACTGTAATGGCGGCGTCGCGTGTCGTGGAAAGGCAGGCAGACAGCCAAACATGCATGCACAGACGTGCTGATGCCGCCTGCCTTCAACTGCCGCGCAAGCGACGGCGCGACGCCGCCTGCCTATCAGCGGTGGTCTTCGAAGGGTTAAAGGGTTTTCACTACTTCCTCCATCATATGGTGTTTTTAGATGAGGTTATAAACGCTAAGAGAATGCAAGGGCAAAGACGAGTCACCGATTTCTTTGCTTCATCGTCTTCACAGAAAACACCTCCTCTGAACTGCAGGAGACCCATCTTTGAACTTGCTGGAAGTAAGCCGACTGTTAAGAAAAAGCGAATGAGGCTTTCTGTAGACGAACGTGATTCGAAACAAACCATCCTCGATGTTGGCCAGAAGTGTGGAGGGCAGTACTGTAAGCAGGTACGATTTAGATTTGTTATAGTGAACATTATTATTCACTGAAAGAGTGATAGCAAAACAGGAGCCGCGGTGGTGCAGTGGTTAGCACGCTCCTCTTGATAAGCGTTAGACGCGGGTTCAGATCCCTCCGAGGTGCAGCGTCACCCACATTCTTGGATAATCTATATAATCATTACTGTCGCAATTTGATAAAGATAAATCGGTCAGCGGATCTTTCTTTACGCTAATAGCTTCAACGGGAAATGTAAGAATTACCTCACAAACTGCCTTTTTATTTAGCATTTCTCCTTTATTTAGTATCTGTCTACCTATTCAATCCGTCTCATCGACGGTTTTTTAAACGTCGCTTTAAGCATTCAATATAGTCTGTGAGAATATCGAGAGCCTTTCGAAGTCAGTACGTTAGAGCCATACGTACGTTTTGGAGGTGTCGCCCGCCTCATGAGAGTGACCCACGCCCCACACGGAGCTCTACTTTATAGCAAGGGTATGGAGAAACGTTACCCCTGGTGATAGCACATGGTATTGTGTTATCGCCATTTTTCCAGTCGATGGTTTACGACTGGTAGAGAAAATGTAGAAATCCATCTCATCGCCTGTTCAAGGTGATATGATTGATGAAATGGGTTCTTGCATATTCACTACGAGCCGTAATCCTTCGACTGGAAAAAAGTGGTGATAACACAATATCATATGCTATCACCACAAATAACGTCTCTCCATCACAGCTATAAAGTAGGGTTCAGTATGGGGCGTGAGCCACCGATGAAGCGGGCAAGACGCCGAAACGTACGTATGACTCTGTCGTACGGACCCCCGAAAGGCTCTAAAGGTTCTCTTAGAATATATCTATTTAATGTTATCATTGGATTATTTAATTGAAAAAACGGTACTTTTCCGTTATTCGTGCCCATTTTGAGCCCCTTAGGAAGAAGGGTTCTTGGCATTTTTTAGTGTTTTAGTAGTTATTGAATAGTCAAATCTCGAGGACTGAATGGTGTGCTTTATTTTCAAAACGGCCCTCACTGCGCTGTTACATTGAAAGTGAAATCCTGCATTCGAGCATATTTTGCTGGCAAGACTCTTCTCCTAAACTTCTAATAGTGATTGGATAATTTGAATCTCAGCAATTCTAATGGTATATTTGGATTGTCAGAAAGACTTTATTGTGCTGTGGCAGCCAAAAGAAGGTTGGGTTTTGCACTTTGCGCGCATTTTTTGCACCGGTATGACTGATATGTCGATCGCGCGGCTGATTCATCGCATAGTAAAGGTGCCAATGTTGCGAAATCTCATCCGTATGCCAGAGCGAAGAATGCACGTCAAGTGCAAAATGTAATTCTAGTTTGGTTGCTACAACGCGTACGAAGGTCCAAGATCCAAGCACACCATTGAAATTTCCGAGATTTAAGCTACCGAAGATGAATAAAACCTTTGAAAAGACCAAAATACGCGTTTTTGCCAAGGACTGGAATGAATACGGACGATGGAAAATTACCAAGAAAAAAACTTTAGTGCGATATGATGTATTCGATAGAAAATGTGAGGGATGTGAGGATGCACGAGGAGCATCACAACCGACAAGTCGGTATCAAACGGGTCCAAATATCGTCGTCCCGTCTCAAGCTCTGGTTGAGGTGAATTTCATTGCTTGAAAAGCTTTATATCTTTTTCCTCCAATCATACTGTTATTTTTATAGAAAGGGATGTAAGTACTTGTCTAAACAGGGTTATGTATTCCGCATTCGACCCGATTCGCAATCTTCTTTGAAGGGGAAATTGGAGGAAGTGATCAAGGTTGTTTTTGAATCAATGACTCCTCATACTGTAAATTTCCTTTCTTGTAGGTGAACACTCTTATTTCACACTTTAGGATTTTGTGAATACCAGCGTCGGTTTCTGCGCCGATCTGTCAATCTGGGGATGGGACAAGAGGAGAACTGTATGGGCGTCTATTATTAATGAGGTTTTGATAAATTCCTACTACATTCGTACATATGATCTGTTAATATATTTTGAGCCCCTCATAAGGTCTGTTATATCACTTAGAAAGTGAGAGACACATGTTTCAGCAGCCTTATTAGTAGAGAAGTGCCTTTCGTTCGAGCCAATCCTTGTAAGGGGATATATTCCCTAGATACAACGGATTCGACGACAAAGATGTTATAATGAACGTGTGTTAAGTGAACAAAATCACTTGACACTGCAATGATTATCAGTCGATTGCTCATAGCTGGTAAATTTGATAATACCTCTATGAAGATTGTTGAATATGAGGGTATTATCAAGTTTACGGACTATGAGCAATCGACTGTTAATCATTACAATGTCGAGTGATCTTGTCCACTTGACACAGGTGCAGTGTAATGTCATTGTCGACGAATCCTTTGTATGTAGGGCGTATATCCCCTTACAAGGAACTGGCTCAACGAAAGTCACTTTGCCACTGATGAGACTGAAAGGCCGAAATACGTGCCTCGCACTTTATAAGCGCCAGAACACACCTCATGAAAGGCTCAAAATCTTATCGGATTGTAGTTTTTTGAGCAAGGTCTTAGAAAAACAGTCGAATACATAGATACATTTGTTTAATTGTGAATTTTGCGAGAGTAAAGTAATTTTCTATGGTAGACCCTATGTGGTTGGTATCGATATAGTATCATAGTTATCAACATACTCATATGGCTTGAAAATGACACAGAAAGCAATTTTTCGCTTTCGAATGCCACTGGACCTCGGCGTGAATGGTCAGTATCCTGCTTTTATTGATGAGGTATAACGAGTTTTCTATAAATGTCCATGGTTATGGTTAGGGCGGGGTGTAGCATAATGGCAAGAGATGCCCTGTGATGAGCATATGGTGATGGTTCGACTCCTGTACCAAGCTCACTAAGCTCTTCCATCTTTCCAAAGCTGCCGAATTGGTACAAGATTGGTCTGAGGCAATATCAGCACTGGCTTGTTACATCGTTAGGCTACGCCGAATCATTGTTAAGGCCAGATATACATTCATTCACTTCAAATGATGTTAGATAGAGTCACATGTATCGGATGTATGGCACCAGCGGTTTCATTTCCATCAGAGCCAAAATGGTCTAAGTTGAATGTCTACTGCGCTTGTCTTTCTTGCGATGTTGGCTTCGGTGGCGTCGCATCAAGACGAATGCAGTAGACGAATACACTGGGGTGGGTCACCGCATAACCTAGGAAGCGTCGGTTCTTTTCCGTTAGATGGGGACAAGTGTAGAAACGATCCCCATCGCTGGACACGTACTTTTCACGAGAGTGTTATTAATCATCCGAAAGCTAATGTTTTACACCAGCTGCGCGTTTTTGCTGTTGCTTCGCGAGAAGCACGAAAAGCATATATACTTGTAGAGGAAATCTCGTAGTATCAAAATCATACGTTTTATGTGGAGTCTCTTTCAAAGCACAGAAAGAGTTCCAAATTAAATAATAAAAATTGCAGTCCCCATGTGAGTCGCGTCAACGTGGTCGAGCAATCGCCGTATAGAGTTCAAAGTTACCACCTCATGCCTATGCCCAGCATTCAAACTACGACAAACAAATGCCACTGCATGTGTAAATTAATCTTATTTTCCCAACTACACTGTAGTGAAACGGTCTTTCTAGATAAGCCCAGCGTTAAAGTCACCGAAACGTAAGCTATCGGAAGGTCACTTATAAGTTGAGGAAAGAGCTTAGTTTTGCGAGAAATGTGCGCATGTGTAACACACATGTTCTCTTTCTGCTACAGCGTTATAAAAGGCCTCTTCAAAAAGCGACTACGTAGCGCAGTAGCTAGCGGTTCAAGCTTTCGAATGATAACCAAAAGTGCAATGGAAAGTGTTTGTCCAGCGAATGGGATTGTTTCTTCGTTTTTCGCCGTCTAACAGAAAAGAACCGCGGCATCAATATTTCTTAGAATGGTCTAGTCATTCTAACTATAGAGTACTTCAATTCACTATTTCATTTATGCTACCTTCCTTATTTCTTTGGTATCTCACCACAGACCAGTGACGTTTGATCAGGGTTCGACTTCTTACATTGCTGGTATTGCAATTACTGAGCCGCTAATTTCTGCACAATGTTCATCTACAGGAGAGGTAAAAGTTATACAATTTTCTTTCGTCCTATCATACT